CAAAAATAATATTTATTTTTACTTTGGATGCAGAGAATGAGAGGGTTAGGTCAGACTGTTAGAAGGATCATTGCAGATTCTAAAGAATGGAATATAAAAATATTTTAAGATCAAGAAAAAAATAAATAAAAAAAACTCTCTGTTTTCAGATAATATATCTATCTAGGTAGGAAATCCCCCAAACTGAACCCCTTCCCCACCAAAAATCCTCCTAGAGTTAATCAACAATTGCAGCAAGGTTGTAGGATCCATTTTTTGTGTAATAGTCAATTGGTATTCTGTATATCAGCAATGAACAATTGGGGTTTGAAATTTAAATCAGTATTATTTACCTTAACAGAAAAATGAAATACTTAGATATAAAACTGGACAAAATATATATACATGATCTATATGAAGAAACCCACAAACCTCTGATTAAAGAAACCAAACATCTAAATAAATGGAGAGCTGTTCCGTTTCCATGGATAGGAAGACTTAATATTGCCAAGTTGTCAGTTCTCAATTTGAACTATAGATTCAATGCAATCGAATAAAAATTCTTTCAAGTTTTTTTTAGATATTGACATTTTGATTCTAAGTTTAACAGGGAGAAGTGAACATCCCAAAATCATCAATTAAATATTGAAGGAGAATTATAAAGTCAGGGTACTGATTCTTTCTTACCTCAAGTTTTTTTTTTAATAAAGCTACAGTAATAAAAAAAAACCTACAGTAATGAAAACATGTGGTATTCATGGAAGAATAAGCAAATGGAGCAGTGAACCAAAACAGCCCAGAAATAGATCCAGACAAATATAGTCAACTGATGTTTGAGAAAGGAGCATCGGCAATACAATGGATAAAAGGTAGGCCTTTCAAGAAAAGGTAATCCTTTCAAGAAATGTTTATGAAACAACCGAACATCTACTTGCAAAAAAAGAAAAGAAAAAATCTACACACAGATCTTAACTGCCTTTACAAAAATTAACTTAAAATGGATCCCAGAACTACATGTAGAATGCAAAATATCAAAACTCTTAGAAAATAAACTGATAAAAAATATAGATTACATTGAGCCTGTTCATGACTTTTTAAATATATCACCAAAGCATAATCTATTTTAAAAAGGAACCCTCCTATACTGTTAGTGGGAATATAATTTGGTGCCCCATTATGGAAAACAGTAAGGAGATTCCTCAAAAAACTAAAAATAGACTTACCATATGATCCAGCAATTCCACTCCTGGGTATATATCCAGAAGAAACTAATTCAAAAAGATGCATGCATCCCAATATTCATAGTATATACAATAGCCAAGACATGGAACCAACCTAGATGTCCATCAACAGAAGACTGGGTAAAGAAACTGTGGTGTGTGTGTAAAATATATATATATAATGGAATACTACTCAGCCATAAAACAGAATAAAATTTGCAGCAACATGGATAGACCTGGAAATTGTCATTTTAAGTGAAGTAAGCCAAAATGAGAAAGAATAATACCATATGATATTACTTATATGTGGAATCTAAAAAAAAAGACATAAATGAACTTATTTACAAAACAGAAACAGACTTGCAAACAAAGAAAACAAACTTATGGTTACCAGGAGGGAAAGGGGATCGACAGAGAGAAATTGGAAATTTTAGATTTTCAGATGCTAAGTACTATATGTAAAATAGATAACAAGTTTATACTGTGTAGCACAGGGAACCATATTCAGTATCTTATGGTAACCTATAATGAAAAAGAATATGAAAAGGAATATATCTATGTATATGTGTCACTGAAATATGTGTACACCAGAAATTGACACAATATTGTAAACTAACTGTACTTCAACTAAAAAAATTTTTAAATAAAAATAAAATAAAATTGCTTCAGAAAAATAATAAAATATTTAGAAATAAACCTGACCAAGGATGTGAAAGACTTATAGCTGAGAGTTATAAAACATAGATGAAGGAAATTAAAGATGATTTAAAGAAATGGAAAGATATCCCATGCTCTTGGATTGGAATAATTAATATTGTTGCAGTAGCCATAGTACCCAAAGCAATCTACAGATTTAATGCAATCCCTATCAAATTACACAGGACATTTGCAGATACTAACTACTATATATAAAATAGATAAACAGCAAGGTCTTGTATAGCACAGGGTACTATATTCAATACCTTGTAACAGCTTATTGTGAAAAGGAAAAATATATATATATATAAAACTGAATCACTGCTGTACACCAGAAACTTACACAGCATTGTATTCTGACTATACTTCAATTTTAAAAGAAAGAAATGAGCTTCATCAGAAGGAAAGTGGAGTAAAGCAGGGACACTCTTTTCTCAAGGAATAAAAGTGTTGGCTCTAAAGAAAGTGATGGCATTTACTTTACCTAAAGTAAGCTGGTTGGCTCTTTTAGATTTTAGAGCTCTGTGACAGTGGTAGCAAATTACTGCTTCTCTTTGTTCTAAATAAAGGTTACATTGAGTCTTGGACTCACTCAAGTTTAAAGATTATAAAACTAAACTCTTTGATCACCATTTTAATCAACTGATACTGTAACTATTAACTAAATCAATAAATTTGGAAATTCACTGACTAGCATGAGTGAGAAAACATTGGATCATAAAGCACATTCAGCAGATGTGGTGACCCTGGTGAACTGAATGATTCAGGAGATGTAAGTCCCAGTCTCAGCTCTACCACCTACTGTGTCCTTAACACAAGTACTGAATCTCCAAGGCCCAGTTTCCTCATCCATAAATGGAAATAATTTTACCTTACTCAAAGGAAATTGAGAGACTTTTCAAAAGAGATATCATGGGTTTGAAAATTCTCTGTTACATGAGGAATAAAACATGAATCCATGTAAATATGGGGAATAAAATATTTTGTAATTAGGTCTTGACAAAATCTTATTTTTCCTTACTAAAAGAGCTTAGAAATAACTTCACTAATCAGTTTAGAACAAATAGGATGATATCTTTGTAGAATACATGTTTTGTAAAGCATTGTCATTAGTGATGTGTATCATTCCAGTCGTATTTAGATTCTCATCATCACTAAATGTCATCTGTCAGGTCTGCTTGTTGTGGTGGTTCTGTGAGGTAGGTTAGTTTATTGAAGTCCTTGTCCCCCATGCTTCACTGAATCCACACCTGTTCTGTGTAAAATCTCTCTTTTTTGCTATTGATGACACATTGAATTTATAATGGAGTAACTACAGTTCAGGCCTATAGAAGTGGAGTCAGGTGGCCATTGAGGATCTGGTCTCAGGCATGTCTCTGCACCAGTGAGAACATGAACTTTCTTTGACCTGTACCAGACCCAAGGACACCACCAGGCATATTCAGAACTACACCTGCCAGCTGCATTCTCTGGTCTCAAAGTCTTCTCCTGGTAACTATGCAACCATTTTGGAACCCAGCCATTCCTTACTTAACAGGAACCCTTACTTGCCAGCTCCACATATAACTTTTGATAAACAACTCATGTAACTAACTGTAACCTTGCAGTTTTCCCATTTAGAAGCCTCCACAATTTTGTAGTCCAGTGGAACACAATTCAGGTTCTTCTCAAGTCTGTATATTCCAGTCTGCAGTCCTAACAAACCCGCAATAAACATGTTTTATTTATTTATTAAGGTGTTTAAACACTTGAAGCAATCGGGTCTCCATTTTCTAAAATTTTGGTCAACACAGTATATACTTCATTCCATTATTTCTGACAGTTGGAGGTTCCAAAAGATGACAGAAGCAACTGTGTCTGGAGGCAACTGGGAGGTTTGAGCCACAGTTTCTTGAGCCTTCCACACTAAATTCTTGTGGTTGGCTCTCCCCTCAGCTACCTGAGCAAGTTTTACCTCTGCAGTGATGGAGAGCGGTGAATCCCTGGCATTTATTCCTTCTCTTGAGAATCTATGACCCTTTTATACTTGGAGTTTTGAAATCAGCTGGTAGAGTCCTTAAGTTCAGAATTGAAGTTCTCAATGATGCAGAAACATGTCAGAAACCACATTCATAATGACCATCTGGATTCATTTTGGATCCCTGAACCATAGTTACTCCACCTTGATTTATAAATGATCTTAGAAATGTCATCACTGTTTTATGTATGGGCACATGTAATGTTCGTGAAACAGCCTGGGACCTGGGACCCTTTACTGCAGTGCTTGCACCTAGACAAACATCTCTTCGAGCAACACAATACAATGAAACTATAAAAGACTGAAAGTAACTGCATATACTTATAACTGCATAATTGCAGTCAGGGCAATTATGAACAATAAGATACATAAAGGCAAAAACCCAGCTACCGGTTCAGAGATGCCAGGAGCAAAAGCACGGTATACTACACATGACTCCTGCACACAGAACCACCGAGGAGATGGGTAGGCCACCTAAGTCACCCCTCTGGCTCAACCCACTGTCCGCCCCTACCCTCACCTTGCTTAAGGAGCCAGCTTGCCCCTCCTTGGGAAGTGAGCAAGGGAACCAGCTTCTTGTTCTTGCTCCCTTGTTCTGCAGCACAAGTCCCAATAAAGCCTTGCCTGAATTTCTTGTCTGGCCTCATATCAACTTCTGTTGATTAAACGGTCCAAGAACCTGAGTCTGTAACCTTAGTACAGTGAATTAAAATACTTTAACATCTTTCATTTTCAAGGGCAAAGTAACCAAGTGTTAGATATAGCATTGGAAAATAAACTTTGTAGAATAAATAACAGAGGCATACAAAACACTGTTGTCCTCAAAATCATACATTCCCAACTGGTCATTGATTTGAATCCAGAGTTATGAGCCTTTTTTGGTAACAAATTATTTATGTCAGTGATTCTCAATCCTGGCTGCACAGTGAAACCACTTCTTTAAAAATTATTAGTACCTACACCACAGCCCAGTACAGTTAAGCAAGAATCTTCAGAGAGCTGTTACTGAACACAGAGAAAACAAGACTAAAGGACACTTTCTTTTCGTTAACAGTGGGACAAAGTCCACACAGAATAGCATACAAAGTGGGTGTAACTGATTGGTGTCTCCTTATACCTCAGAGGCGCAGGCTGAATTAGCAGGGGCTGTTATAAAAGCATTAGATTTCAGGCCCACAGCTGTCTCAGAATAGGAGGGGGAGGAGGTGTTCATGGATCCAGTTGTGGTCCTGGTGCTCTGTCTCTCCTGTTTGCTTCTTTCACTCTGGATACAGAGCTCTCGGAATGGGAAGCTCCTGCCTGGCCCCACTCCTCTCCCAATTCTTGGAAACATTCTACAATTAGATGTTAAGAACATAAGCAAATCCTTGAGCAATGTAAGTAGGTTTTATGCTCCTCCAGTGTCTTTTAAAGGGTAAGTAAATTCAGTTCAATTTTAAAAATAATACATATTCCTATGGGCACACAGTCAAAATAGGTCATTATGTAGGAAATTATCCCAGCAAATTTTGATATTTCTATTGCCGTTTCAGGTATGTCATTATCATAAAAACAGAACAAAATAGTGTGTTTTGTGGGTATAGAAACCTTTGGGTCTTCTTAGGGTCTTTGTATTTCTACCTCTTCCCCTTTTTATGGATGGGAAACACCATAGTTGGCAAAGAATGACTCCTGTCCATTGTGCCCTTTGCTAACTCTGTGTTTCATTTTATTGTCTTTGAGATAAGTTGTGGAATAATAATGGTAATGTGAATGATTCTTTATAGAAATGCGATTTGTATCTTTAGAAGATCTTAGACTGCCCTCAGGGTATGGACCAGTTTTGTGTTTGTTAAGAATCTCACTTTCTGCATCCTTGATGGCATA